ACAAAATGTTTATTTTAAAATTACAAGGATTAATTTCGATTCTAAAATATTATCTTATTTTTCTATTCTTCCTGAGTTTTCTCTTAACTAGCGAGACGTTAACATTACGCACAAAGTATACAATCACAATTGTCTTTCTATAGGGCTTCTATTATCGAAATATTTTTCTTCAAAGGGATCAATTATATAATTTCATTGAAGTCAACAATTGTGTTGCTAAGCACCTTCAAGCCCTTTGTTTGGTTGCTTGGCTGCATCACTGATGACATTTTAGTTTACAGGGTAAAATACAGTGTCGAACGCAGTGTGACATTAGTCATTCAATCAAATAAAACCTACTTCAAATTATATCAAAGGTTTTATTTGATTTAAACATGGCACAGCTGAATTTACAGAATACCTATCAAAGCTGACACAAAATGGCGACTAGCTTCTCAGATAGTATACAAAATCGTAATAAAAAAGTTTTAACAAGAATTTTTTTTTAAATAAACTCGACATTATTCGACCTCAATATTAAAAATTTAAATAAGTAAATTGTTAAAAATAAGTTTTCAAAATAGCGTTCAAGAAGCTAATAGTACTATAAATTACAATAAAAGCTTATGGAGTTTATTTGCTTCCTTATCTGCGTGTTCTAAAATTGCGACCCACATCTGTCACGGTCATAGGTAAAACCTTTTTATATCGACATTGGATTTTTGTTTGCAGTGTATTTATTCTTTATCTCTAGTATATCTCTATATTTTATAAGTTTTTCAGTGTTCTTAAAGCATTTTCCATTAAGTATATTTTTCAGTTTAGCATTATGTATGCTAAATTGATCAAATATAAGTTAGAGTTATTTTATAATTAATTGGTAAATCCGAGCATGAAAGGGCACTTACAAATTATATTGTTCTTACATAATTATTTATTAATTTAAAGAAGTCTAGACATCTTAAAAGTACGTTACCGACTGTGACTAAAATTAATCAAACAGAATGTCGCTTTTAATAACGAGAATATATGTATAAAATCTAAGATATATTCTTAGCCAAACAATGTTACGTTTAAATAGATTAATAAGTATATTATATTTATAGACATCTATCGATATTGGCTCTTAAACAAATTGATGTCTTATCTGAAATAGGGATGAGTCAAAATCTGTTTCACATTCGGTTTAATAAAATTCGGACGACAGCACTGAACATCGGCAATTCACCGAAATCACCTACAACTTTTTAATAAAATTATGTTAATATTGTTTCGAATACAACAACAATTAGATATCAAGCAATTTAAATCTACTATTTAAAAAAATGCGTTGTTAAAAAGCTTATTATATCATAAGTTATCCGATTTTATAACAGATAAGAATGCTTGGACTTAAGATGGTCCAGCAACTGGATAGGTGATTTCTTCGAAACTCTTTATATCTCAATAATTATCGTGTTGCCATTAATATTAAATTATTATGTTATCATTATGAGACCATAATTTTTTTTTCTCTCTATTTATAATGTATTGATCTGGCAATGACATGGTTTTTCTGAATGTCTCCTATTAGAGCTGGTAAGTTTCTTACTCGTTCTTCTTATCAGCCAAAAGATGTCCTGAACGAGTGGTAGGGAAAAAATGTTGGATGATTCAAAAGTACTTTTAAGAAGTCTATTTGAATAAAGATAAAGATTTTTGACTTGGACTAAACTGTTGAAAACTTAACTATTAGATTATATCACTTCATATCACATCGCTATCTTAACGATATAACAATGGTTCTTTCATATGTCATATAAATGTTAAAATTAACCATCAAAACCTAAACCTAATAGAGGGGAAATTTACATAGCGGTGTAGCAACAACGGTTTTTTGGAAATTGAAGGAAGTTAAAACGTTATATGAAAGTTATTTGATATTAATTTAGAATGATGAAAATAAACATTACTTTCTTTAAATTTCAATTCTGAATGTGATCAAGTTCAAATGAGAAATTATTTATTTATATATGAAGTTAGCTGGTTAAGTGGTGCATATTCATATCTTATAACAACTCTTAATTATTTCTCTTCTTACGCAAGCAGGTTCGGGGATAACACCTAGTATATTTTAAATAGGAAAGTGTGTATGTTTAGTTGTCCTTCTATTACGTTGTCATAATCATGTAATGTAGTTATGATTTTATGTGTGTATTACGTTTGGAGGCCGGAGTGTGACACAGGGTACTTTTTACTGCGAAAAATATGTCATTCCTTTGACAAGGGGGTTAAGCCGAGGATTACAGCAATCAAACAAATAAAAAATAATAAAACTATTATACCTCAAAACATTATCAAATCTTTTACTTACGAAAACATTTAATTCGTTACCTTTCTCAAAAAAAATAATGATATGTAGATAATATTTTGAATTGAATTCTATGAAAGTATCAAACTTAATATTTTATTTTATTGTGACTTTCTACATAATGATATTTATATATTGGACCATAAGTACTTTGGCATTGTTTTCTTCGGATTCTACTATAGAAAGCACACTAAATTCAACAAATAGTTGGCTGATTTTGTATTCGTATGCCAAGAGTTCTACTCTATTTTTTAGAAAACGAAATTTCGGATAATTCCTTTTTATGCATTTTTTATGTTTTAGGGTCGGCCAAAAAAGTGGTCTACCAGTTTTGACAACATTTCCCGTGTCTTTAAAGCATCGCTAAAGGCGAATCTTATAATTGCATAAAAGAGATGCACAATGCTGACGTGTTGTCGTAGAGCACAAATGTTATTTTGACCTTTGCAGCCTATGCATTAGATAATAATTTGCAACAACAAATAGTCTTCACATTATTTCAAAAATTTAAAATTTAAGTAGGTCACTTCAAAGTGGAAACTATTTTGTTACGAAAACTTTTTACTGAAAAAGAATATATCACTTGACAATTCATGTCAAATATTTTCTCGGCATTTTCCGTAGGTATTTTCCTAATTAATTTACACTACAATGGCCCGAAATTTATCCATTAACGAAAGAGCACAAGTAATCGCATTACACAATGATGGTTTGAATATTAGTGAGATTTCTAGAGAATTAAATGTGTCGGTAAGTATTATTATGTCTGACGTGAGTTTAATGTAAAATCTCAGACCAAGTCCGAGTGTAAAACTTTTTTTTTATTTTTTCTGTTCATATTTTATTTTTGATTATAGAGACAAGCTGTCCGTCTTTGGATAAGACGAGAAAGCGAGGAGGGGAATTTGAACGCTCGGAGTCGTAGCGGTCGTAGACCTGAAATATCAGATACTCAGCGAGTCTTCATGAGACGGAGTTATGAGGAATCTGGCTTTATACCAACGCGTTATTTTGCCGACATATTTGACGTGACTCTCCAAACCATTAGAAACCATTTACATTACATGGGCTTACATCACAGGCGTTATGCAAAGAAAATTTATATGACTGACGCTCATAGAATGGCCAGATTAAATTTCGCCATAGAATATTTGGATTTTGATTGGAGTAACACTGTTTTCTGTGACGAGAAAACTTTTAAATCCAGTCAACTCGGGCGTCTACACCTTTGGCGATTCAATAAAACGCGATACACGCAAAATCATGTCGTGCCAAATAGAGAATCGGGTCGTATCTCGGTAAATTTGTATGGATGGATGACTGCTGATGGTGTTGGAGACTTGACCCTTTTGCCACCACGAGCAACGGCATCAGATTATGTTGATGTTCTCCAAAATGCTATGTTGCCAACCGTCCGGAACGTTTATCCAGAAAATGAAATGCGTCAATTTAATTATTTACAGGATAACTGTCCCTTACATAAAGCAAGGGTAACACGTGCTTGGTTTGATGCACATCCGGAAATAAACTTGATACCATGGCCTGCAAAATCGCCAGAACTCAACCCTATTGAAAATATGTGGGGTCTTATGGTTCAGAGATGGTGTAACCGTAATGAACGAACAGCAGAAGCACTACAAGGGCACTGCAATGAGGTTTGGGAGGAAACACGTGGGTCTGATATCTGCTCAAGACTGGTGGGCTCGATGAGGGAACGTCTCCAAGCTGTTATAGAGGCAGATGGCAGCTACACAAGATTTTAAGAATTATAATTTTATAAAAGAATTGTATATATTTTTTAACAACCAAAGAATTAGCATTTTCACTATCTTTTCTAGTTTTAGCCCTTGTCTCACACTAAGCTATGGGTCGGCGCAATATGTTTTTTGTCGCTATTCATTTCTGTTATCCGTTATCTCAGTATATTCAGACCTATAACACGCATAGCTTCTTACGCATAGCATTTCACTACCTACTGATTTTTTTTATTTGTATTAAAATATATTTAATCTACATTCTAATGTAGGATATTTGTAGACTATAAGACTTTGTTTACGATATTCTAACTCTAAAGTATTTAAACATACAAACAGACAGACAGAAAAAAAAATATTTTTGGCTTCTTTCCAAAATATCTTACAAATGTAACCTTGTTACATTTTTATTATAGGTATAGATAATCACTGTCAAAGGTTACGTCAAAATGATGAAGATAGCAATAATGACGTGTACTTGACGTGTCAAAAAATTAATGCTACGGAAAATCAACCTTGTTGTTAGTTGACGTAACACACGAAATTCAACCTTAGGGTGGTAGACCACTTTCTTGGCCGACTGTACATCACCAGTTAATTAATATTCTCGTCGCACTACAAATATTTCAAAAAAATAGTATATGAGTCATAATAGCGTTTCGGAAATATGCGAAATTTCCTTTTGAGAGATACAGGGTAGACGGTTTACAAACATTTCAACGGTCCCTATTTGGTTGTAGCGTTTTGGAATTTAGACAAATATAATCAAAATTATTGTTTGATATTGAGTATTATGATCTCATAACATCAAAGAGAGGTTGTTCACAAACGATTTATATTGTTAGTTCTACTATTGAATATAAGCTAAAAGACACATCTTATATTTATTGAAATTTAATTAATTAATTAAAACTTACATTGTAAATGGCGTATATGAACGGGTTGTAGCAGGAATTGCTCATCGCAAGCCAGTCGAAGCAGAAGAAAATGACATTTATGTATTTGTATCTGAAAAGAGAATTGTCTTTAGAATGTTGTTTTGTAGATTATCGATAATATTCGATTTTAAATTGTAATTCCTTATACTAGTAAATTAGGATTCTAGAAAGTATTGTAACCTGTACGAGTGAATGACATTGCGATAACTATATTATTCAAAGGGAGCATGAAATGTATAGTTCTCTGAATAAATAATCCAACGAGAAGTTTTAATTTTTATATGAGAAATTAGTTAAAGTGTGATTAGCTTCAAATTAGACTTTAAAACTTTTCACTGAGGACTCTATGGTCCTGAAATAAAATTAGCACTGTTTACTTAATTAGTGTCTTTTATAGATAATACAAACATTTTGTAGATAACACATTCAAGTCTGTTTTACGAAATTAAGAATTCAGATTTTAATAAAATATTTTAAAGAAGTCAAAACATACTTGGAATAATCAAAAAATATAAAATAAAACCAGATAGATTAATTTTAAGAATGTATAAACTGGATACATTTGAATTGCCTAAGTTGTGACAGCTGGATGGAAAAATGATCGGACAGATAGACAGGCACTTGGATCCTATAAGAGTTTCGTTTTCTTTTATTCTTGAAGTAAGGAACTCTAAAAATGAGACCAATTCAACGGAACAATTTACTTATCTTATGCAAATGAAATGACGATTGAGCCCACATAGAACAGACATCATAAAAGAAAATAAACAGTACTTAAATGAGACCGAAAAACAATATAACGTTTAATATTTATCCGTTCAAGATCTTTCCTTTTGTATAATTTGTAAGTAATACTCACTCATTTATAGAAGGAAAAAATGACTGCAGCAGCATATAACTCTGTAGAGGCAGCCAACATAGTGCAAATAGCGCCACCACCAAAACCAGCATTTTAATTACCTGCACAAAAAAAAAAACAATTAATTATAACAAAAAACATATAAATTTAAACACTTTTGTTATTTATATTGTTGCCAAAACGAACGAACGAACGAAAAATTCTCTCGGTATTTTAATAAAATCAAATTATTAAATAGATACTTTGTCATAATTATAGATTACCAAAATAGGTATGTCAAATATCCGTAGTTCAATTTGAACTCTACTCATAATAATTAAAATTAAATGGGAAAATTCGTCGGGTTAATTCAACCTTACGAACATGCTGTTAAGTGCACTTTAAAAAATATATGTTTATGACATTTAACGTCGATTATCTATACTAATATTTTAAGAGGGTAAAGTTTAAATGTTTGTTTGTTGGTAGAGGTGTAATCTTTTTTATTAATTACGCGAATCTATATCATACGCGGGCAAAGTCGCGGGAAAACAGCTAGTACTATTTAATAAAACAATTCTTTTAAAAATGTGTATAAAAGTCTAGCTTGGTTTTGTTTAAAAAAAAATCTTTTACACATATTAAAATTGAAAAAAGAAATACAATTAATAAAGTTGTTGCCCAATTAAGACGTATCAGAAGGACTATGTCATGGTGTAATACTTATTGTAACAAGTAATCATGGCAATAATTTTTAGTGGCAAACAATCAGGCTACAATTTCCCATTAGATCTCCATACACATCCCAAAGACAAACAACCGAATTAGTTCGGGTAGACCTAAAGTCCAGTCCAGTCATTATGCAATGGCATGTTATATGTAGCATTTTCTAGAGTTATGCAACCAATTGCGTTGAAAGTGGATCTTCCAAATGAAAATGCTCGACATACCCACAATATAGTATGGATTAAAAGTATGTACATACCCGATTAAAGAATATAAACATTACAAAAAATCTAAATCCGGTTTTAAAATACAGTAGCGTCATCTAGCGACAAGAATCCAATGAAGCATTTTATCCTTTGTCCCGATTAATAGTTCCCTATTTTAAATTATATTATATAATAGGGAACTATTATTTATTTTAATATTGATTTACAAATTTTATATTATTTGTCTTTTATTGTTTTTTTTTTTTCGATTTTTATCAAATACTTTCGCTTTGATAAAATGCGTTCTTTGTAAATTAAATACTTTTGTTAAATAGAATACTGTCTCTAAAATCTAAGCTAATGTCTTCAATCAAGAATTATAAATTGATATTTCAGTGGATTCTTGTGGATTATTGGAATACGTTTTATATATTAAGTACATATTGCAGTATTAACTCGATGTAATAAAAAACAAAATAGTATCTTATATCTCCCTAGAGATTATTATAAATAAAGAAGTAATGCTCTTAATTTGATCAGGTTCATACTTTAGTTAGTTTTAGTCAACATGTATGCCCCGTTGGTTTATATGTATAAATATGTAGAGTTGGTTTGTATATATAACACCAATTTTCGAGGTAGTAGAAGCCGAGGGATGTCAAAACACACTTTTCTCGATGAAATTTCCGCGTGTTATCGTAAAGTTCTATCATGAACCATAAAAATCGGTGAGTGTGTATGAATAAAGTTATGAATGTCAAGGAAGGAAGACTTATGTAAAGACCATGCTTGCGACCTTTGGTTCTCTATACCTAACACGGAAAGGGTTTCTGCCGCGCTAAGGATTTAGTTAGATTCCATCAAAATAAAAGGCCTGAGACCCAGCAGTGGGAACATTAAACGCTGGACAACATAAGAAAAAGATTTTTCTTCATCGAATTATTCGAATAATTCTTCTACAAAGTATAGAGAAATACGGAAAACTATCCTAAGAGGTCGTTAATTGTGATATAGAGTTGTCAATTATGATATAGACTCTAAGTCATAATTGATGACCACGTAGCAATTTTCTTGCATGCCGATATTCTTCTTTTTAAATAAATGGCTTATTTGCGCATTTCGCACAATTCTGCCAATGTCAAGTAAATAAATTAATTTTTTCATGTAAAATGAAATGAATAAAAGAGGTGTCTATTTTTAAGGTAATGTTAAAATGAGCTTTCATAAATACTCTCTCTGGTCATATGTGACGTTGTCAATCTTCATCGTTCATTAATATCCCCACTGTTCAAACACAAGTAGTACCTAAACGGAAGCACTACCGTAATAAATAGGGTAGGGTAGGATAGTTTCGGTAGTAAAAAATAAGTCACGAAATTGCACAAAAACTAAAATTTACATCGTAACAAACATAGATCTCTGATTTTGAGTCTTAGCATGATTATCTTAAAATGAAAAGTAGAGATTTTTTGTCTATAAGTAACGTGACTTGAAACACGACCCGCCATTCTGTGACGTCACTGTGGTAACTGCTGTCAGATTAGTTATGAAGATATGCCGATTAATTTTATTAAAATGCCCATAAATCAAATTACTAGATAAATAAATATTAATCATTCATCACATATATTGCTCAGATTTCAAGTGAGTAGCTAAAGCTCTCGTATTATGGAGTATCTGAGACAATGAAGGTACCATAACACCTAGGCCCGAGACAATATAGAAAAGTTCATTTTCTACATCGACCCGACCGCGGATCTTGGAGATGCTGACACCTTAAAGCCGGCGTGCGCACCACTCGGCTACGGAAGTTTACTGACATTTTTTGATCTTTACTCTATGCATCTGTTTTGTGTACCTATCAAAATAACGGCATGAATATGACAAACAGCGTTTTCGCGAGTATATTTTTTTATTTATTTTGATTTAATTTTAAGGCAAGAAAACGTGTTTATTTTTCCGAAATATTTATTATATTTAAGTTAATTAAAACAAACGATAACAAGTATTATTTCGACCAGAGTTAAATACCCCATTCCATAAAAAAAATATCTACAGTTTCCCCGTGCTTCTAAAGGCACGTTAAGTCGTTAATCGCAAATGCTTTTGGTCATTCATACGATAATCGGTATTTGTAAAAGCTGCATAACTTCATCTTAACTCTTATAGGAGTTATTATAATACTAATTTTGTCTCAAATAACAAAGTCCTGCACCATTAAGTATCAATAACAATTGTAATTAACGTTACAGAGCACATAAAGTATCTGTTATAACAAATTATTACCAGTACTTAACAGAAAGCTGTCTTTTGCACCCTAAAAGACACGTAAGATCATTTGTGCCAGCCGCTCACTGATGGCGTAGTAAACTCAAATTGATCTGCTTAACTGATTCTTTGTTTATGTACAGTTAAACAGCTACTAACCTTTAAAGGTAATTAACAGTTAATAGTAATACTAATAGTTAATTATTTGAAGGGAACCCTTTAAAATAATATGTAAAGGCAATAACAAAAGAAACAATACCAATTAATTACGATTTTATATAAGGACAACATATCTCATTTATCGCATGTCTCTAAAAAAAATCTGTGCTAAAATATTTGAAGTGAAAAAATCCTACATATTTTTTTTTCACTAATTCTCTTCTTTTTTTATTATTGATAAATTTGTCGTCTCTTTGCACTCATTACCTGATGAGGGATATTTCTAATATTATCAGCGGTTAAAGTTATAATTAATAAAAAAAAAACTCTATATTTACATGGATAGCCTTATGTAATATAACATTTCACTTCAATAAAAACTTTATCTGTCTGAGAACAAACTATTTACATATATTTACTGCTAAATAACTTGCAGGGTAAGCAGAGATTACCATCAATCCAACTATTTTCTTTTTTATTGTTCATATAAAGAACATGCTTTTTTATTCGATCTGTGATCAAACCTTTTTCAATCTATATATATGCTAGATATCTTATAACTTAAGCCAAAATAACCGAAAATAGAATAGAATATAAAATACTTTACAAGATTTACATACTAAAAGGTTAAAAAAAAACATAAAAAAATAATAATATAAAATCATTATGTGAAGGCCAATTAGGTCCCTGTCTCAGCTACAACGCTGGTAATCTGACAGGGCTTAAAATGTAATGTAGTGAAGTGTATTATACCTATATTTTATAATATAAATGAAAAAGTGTAATAGTTATAAAAATAAAATAAACACAGATACCACGATAAAATATAAAACAAAATATTATTCTTAATGAAAAATGCTTAAGAAATCCGCTCTGTTCCTGAGATATTAATTGATCAAGTATAATTATCAAATTATTATCTTACCTTTTTTTTGTTCTTCATATGGTTGGCGTCTCTTGTCTCTAATGCGTTGCCCGGAGCGCGTGCTCCCCATAATTTCATCGCCATGTGCGCGTACGCAAACGTAATTACGAATAACGGTATCACATACTAGAACAAAAACTGATATCAAATTCAATGTTTAGTTAACTAACGTAACACCTGTGGATCTATTATATTTAAACTGCAACGTAAATTTAGAAAATGATCTAATCATGTTTTTGCATAAGAATAAGTTTCTATAATTGGCGACAATGCTGCATATTTATTTTTGTATTGAAATAAAAAAAAATGCTGTTGAAACTTTGTTAGATGAATAAATAAATCTAATCATTTTTTAGCTCAATTGTCACATATCTATTATTAAAATGAAATTTCAGACCCCTTACATTATGATACCAACATCTTGACGAGTTTCTATTTATAATATCAAATAGATTTTTGTTACTTCTTTCATTACATAATATTCAACAATGTGTAACAGGATATTATTAATTTCTCTCTTGAAAATTTTCAATGAAGCTTTTGATAACAACGATTTTATTACACAGTATTCATCCTAAACTAAATTTCTTAGGATGGATGCTTTGTTTTGTGAGAGATCTGCTTTTTCGCCGAAAATTGTTTAGCCAATTATCTCTTGCCAACTAACGCCAACTGCCAACTAATCGTAGAATTTTATTTCGTCATATAATCAATTACTAACCCATCGTATAATTTTGACATATTTCCCAACAATCATTCTACAAAAATTAAACGTCATAAATAATTGCTAATCATAAGTTATCCAAGTAAAACACAGATGACACGTTAGATGTAAGTGATACTCGGCCAAACAATTTTCGGCGAAAAGGCAGTAGTAACCTATTTTGTGAGATGATGTAAATTAACTTACCTGAAATACATATAAAATCAGTCTGTAGATTGCCAGGGAATGCGAGCCGAACTCACTGGGCGCGCAAAATGGCTTCTTGTAGAATAATTTTGTGTCTGCGAACAAACAGGGTTTTTTTTTCCATGTAAAATAACTTGCTCACTCGTAAACAAGGTTTGTTTTGTTCATCTTACTTTTAAGTATTATTCATAAAAATAATACTTCAAGGCACTATGAAAACTATACGTGGAAAGTTTTAACGAAAGTGAGAGCTTGAAATGGGTACATTTCTTTAAAACTCATTTTCTATCCTAATAAGTAATAGAGTATTCTATGGTTCTTAAAACTATCTGTAAAATTGACAGAATTTAATTTTTTTATTTTCGTCACGTCTGGATATAAATTATCATAAACTAATTTGGGTCATTAGGCAGACATAGTTCTCGCTTAGTGGTAAATATTTATATATATATTTTTTATAAAGTTTTATAAATTTTTATTGTGATTCTCGATAACAGACAAGATAATTTTCAAATTCGTTTTAAAACAGATAATTTAACGATTCGCCGCCTTTATTTTTTATTATAAATATCCTATGCTTCTATGTAGCATGATCCTAAAAAGTTTTAATATATAATCTTGATAATTAAAAGTTATGACAGCCGCTACTGAAAAATTCTGATCTGCATGTTTATATAAAGTCTCTTTCTTATTTTCCGATGCCTCAAAAGGCTTTGAAAGCTCATATTGTTTTAAATGTATACTCATCTATTTTTCTTAAGTATACTTAATACAGAACGAATATTATTTTAGTTGGAGATATACGAACTGAAAATAAGGAATTATATTTATTCCTTAATTTTACCCTTTCCTACCTAATATTAAAACTTTTAGATCATTGTGAACGCTTCAACAACAGTCTCATCGTTTCGAAAGAATGCGCTAAGGTTTTTTTTATTTTAAGATTAAGTTCCCTTGGATATATTTATTTTAGTTAGACAGCAACATAACAGAATTATAGACAAAGCAAGACAATACAACTTACTTTATTGTCTGACGTATTTTACGACAGATATGTTGTAAGAAATTCAATCTATGAATTACAAGAATATTTCACAGTAATACTGTACTTAGATATAATTTTAAAGGAAATATGTAGCTATTTTGCTATAGTTTACTATTACTTTGAGTCTATGTTGTAATATGATGTACAGCTATGGAAACAAGTCACGTGTTTACTCTAGTAAATGTTTCTAAACATGCGGTTACCGTTGAAACATTGCTTCATATAGTAACTTCGTATTATTGTGTATACCAGCGCTAATATTATGTTCGGTAAGACATGTATAATGTTACGTGACATAAATATTAAATTTTCATTACCAAATGTAAGACCTGATACCAACCTGATATAAAATTAAACGTTAACTCTGAAATAACAGTCTTATTTTCAGTACAAACTTTCTTGGAGTTTATACACGAGATAACAATAGGATTCTCGAATTAAAGCCATTTCAATGTGATGTGAAACAACAAAATAAATATATTTTACTTATTTTCATGTAATAAAATAAAGAAAATACATATTTTATATAGAAAATATATTTCGTACGAAAAATAGCTATTTTCAACTTCTGATACAGAGATTCGGTCATAGATATTAATATTTATTTGCCATCATTATGAAAATAGTGACCAAAAGATTCATAGCTACTTTTGTGATTGTTTTTATAAAAATTACCTCTTTAATTAATAATTGAAAACAAATACCGAGAGACTCATTAACGTTTTATAATAATACTTATTTAACTTTTTCGAAAATTTTGAACATTAATATAACAGTAAAAAGTTTTAGTTTAGTTTTTAGTAAAGTTTTAGTCCCACTCGTTCTTGAGCAGTTTCTTTTTGTTGATATAATGGAATAATACAAGCAGTGAATAAGTAATAAATTATTTCATCAAATCCATTTACAATAATAAACAGCATTACTATCTATCCGATTAGGTACATAAAAGTAGAGGTATAATTAAAAGTACAATCGAAGCCGTAATAAAGAAATTCTAGTGATTCTTTCGATTCTCAATCATGTCCAAATTGGTTTTATTAAAAAAGTTCTCCCTCAGCAAAAACAAATAAAACAAATATTCCAAGAGATTTTTATCGGAGTACCTTTGGGTCTATTGTGTCTGGAAATTAATGTTATTTTACAAGCTTTTATTGAACTCTAAAGATGCTAATCCACTGCTTCGGCACGCACGCACCGGCCGCACGACAAGCGACTCATTTCACGGATTTGTCGATGCAATTTTTAATAAAATACGTTGTGTGTCGGGCGGCTGGTGCGTGCGTGCTGTCACATGGACGTTTACATTTAATGCATTGTTCGGGTATTGCGTGATAATGACGCGAGATGTAATTGAAAACCAAATAATTTTCAGTTTTGTAATGATGAAGATGTAGATCGACAATGTGAAATTTAGTTTGATCATATTATTGTGGTGGTCTATTACCACATTTCAACTAAATAGGCATAGGTTATATACTACCTCATGGATGGATCGAACAAAAAAGGAAGAACGGGCAATGACGACGCAAGTCGAATGCTACACTATACCCACATAAATAACATATATTTAACTAAAAGCTAAGTAACAATATCCACTACTTACCGGTTGGGAAGGGCATTTTCTTTCATTTTAACATTTTTTTTCTCGTAGACCATTTTAAAAAATGTACTGATTACGATGGACCCCCCCCTGCTGCTACATTTTTAACATATTCCCAAAATTCGTCCAAAATGTGAAGATCTAACGATAGAAATTGGCGCCCTATTTTTATTTCACGCCAACGTAGACCCCCGTTGAATCCCTCGTGGACCCCTGTTGGTCCACCTGGACCACTTAGGGAATCACTGGTCTACATAAATCTCATGTTTGTACACTTCGAGGTTTTATAAATCAAAGGGGCGAAAATTCTCCAACATAAGAATTGTTATAAAGAAATAAAACTTTCAAATTTAGTTACGAGCCTTGAACATAAAATCTTACCCATGAATTTACCCACACATATATTCGCCCGTTATGCAAAAAAAAAAACAAATACAATACACTCCTTTTTTGGTTAGTCGTGTATAAATCACCACATGATTTCTAACAGAAAGTGTTAAGCAGGACATTAGCAAGTACAACTAATGCATTTAATGTTAACAAATCATATTATTCAGTTGTGAAACTGAATGAGAATAGCAAGCATTTTGAGGTGAGTTATGAATAGTGGAGATTAAAGATTCCTGGCTGTATTCCAACCGAAATCACATTCAATTTGCAGCGTTTTCGATGTAAATCGGATTGCTTCAAGAAGCACAATGGTCTGTTGTAGATTCCATCATCGTGAACGCGCTCACGTCCTATCAGTGCCTGCATGCATGCTTATGAAGTGATAATAATATAGTGAGTAGTTTTGTGTTTATAGCGTAATATTATTATTCTGAATTTTATGTTTCAAATTAACTGTATTTATTTAATCTAAATAGTGAAAAAATCCACTAGAGTTTAATTATCGCTATGCAAACATATACATTTTTTGTTAAGCAGGAATTTATCAACAACTGACTTCACAATGGAGACAAGTCAATGCAGCAAGCAATTAATAATTTTTTGTTGGCTTTCATTGGGATTCACGATTAATACCGCCTAAAAAACATTAATCTTGTAATGAAATTGTTAAGAAATCTGTAATGTTGTAAAAATTACTTTTACTTGCGCTTCTTCAATCAGTTGAAGATTATATTTACGTTCTAGTTGACACTGAACTGAACATTGATTGGCATTCGAATTGGTAAGTATCATGTAAAAGCAACTGTACTCAAAAAAAGTCTACGCTGGGAAGGGTTCTTTGGTTATAAAATACATTCTATCAAAATGTCTACTTCTGTACGTATTCATATTTACGTCATTTATCGTCTTAAAAAGTGGCGGACTACCAGTTTGATGCCTTAATGAAGCACGACGTAAAGCCATAAAAGATCAACTTGAGCATTCTCAAGTATTATTATTAGAAATGTCTTTTATATAGGTTTTCCTGTAATTTATATTGAAAGATAACTATTTTCTGTATTTAAGCACAATACCTTCGGAGATCATTAAATTGTAAAAAAAAAATAATATTTTCACACATTAAACCCTTTCATTTGATATGTAACACATAATAGGTTGCGAAACATTTTAAATATAGATACACTAATTTACCCCCCTCCCGCCCCCAAAAGAGGACTCCATATTTCAAATTCATTTATTTGCGTTGCACGAGTGTCTTTAGGTCTCATATTTACATATAACAGCTGGCAATAAACGGACATCCATACATCGATTGATCGTATAAAGGTTTAATTTTTTTAACGACCTCCGTAGCAAAGTGCTTAAGGTCAATGTCCGTCCGGAAATCGAACCTGGAACCTCAGGGGTGGTGACACCTTGACTATATAGAAAACTTTTATATTGTTACATGTTTGGATGATGTGATACCGTTGTTATATCAGATTCTCCATTATGTGGGAGCTTTAACTACTCATCTTTGAATCTGAGTTGTGTAATATTTATATACTTCTCTTTTGTCGGTGCGAAACCCTAAAATGAAATCTGCAAAGGGTATGAAAAGATAGGCAGAAAAAAGCAATTAAATGTGAGTTTTTCTATGTTGATATAATATTTTCAATGGGCATTCAACAAAGAACCTAACAATAACAGCATTAATTAACATCACAGCCTTGATTTTTATCACAATCACAATAAAGTTCTCTGGAACACGTCCCTCACCAAACAATAAAGTGTACGTGTTATTGTGCCTAGTGACGTCATCCTAAAGAGGGAAAACGGGTCGGCTTGCCCAAGAAAAAAAGTAGCGAGCGACTAAACGGCAAATACACAAGACTTACCTAAACACGACTGGCGGAATTCCAACACTAGGCCGTATTACGTATCGAAGGCAAACATTTTGATAGTAACACTTATCAACTAGCTAATGGTTTGATCGTCATAAATAGACTCTCCTTTGTTAAACATTCTATTGGATATACGTACAACATACCTAATTGGTTACAATAACGATGATATTTTTATACGTGAAAGTATTAATTTTTAAATAATTACCATCTGCAAATGGTCTTTGTGTTACTTTTATATACTAATATTATAAAAAGGATAGATTTTATTGTTTGTTTACATCGAATTAACTCCAAAATAAGCGGTCCGATTTTAAAAATTATTTCATTAACGCTAATAAGCTATAATTTATGCGAGCTAATTCGCGGGAAATCAGCTAGTGTTAAATAAAGTTTACCATGGAGTTAAGTGAAAGAAAATAAAATATTTTAGTATAAATACTGCAAGTAAGATTTCCTATTAATTATAAAAACAATAACGGTAAAAAAGCTTTAAATTTTGGTGACTCATTTGCACAAATGTCCATTAAGATTTAATGAAGCTTTTAAGCTCTAATGGACGTTAAATTTGTATAGGTAATGTCGCTTTAAGCTAATGAATATTTTAATGGTTGTTTGTGCAACTGGCTGTTAATAATACAAGTTTATAAAATACTAGCTTTTTTCCCATGACTCGTCCGCGTAAATTATAGCCTATGTCACTCACGCATGATGTGCTTTTCTGTAAGTAAAAGAATTTTAGAAAACGGTACATTAGTTTCGGAGCCTATTCAATGCAACTTATAATATTAGTATCGAAGTTATCGTAATTAAAAATTTTTGCCTCAGGTGGTCGGTGTCTTAAACACTGTCGAATATCTCAGTAATTGTGTTATATGTCTTCCACTAACAGTGAGCGTACTTCTATAAAAGTAATAAATTTCTATTAAGGCACTTGGGAGTGCTAACCTTTTTAAGTATATTTCTATCACAAAAGTAAATATCAATAAATATTACAATATTAGACGTTTAGATTTGAAGATGATCAGCTAAAACATTTGTATTATGAAATAATTAAGGTAACACAAAACCCAGACCATTCCATTTTCTGTATTGACCGGATCGAGAATCGAACCCGGCACAGCAGAGACGGCGATGTCTTGAAAGCGGCATACGAGACACTCATGGACGCCGAAAGTAACATAGATATTAAAATGCGAGGCAGTTCTTTTTGTGGTTTTTTTAGGTAAGAATATTGTCAGTTGTAGCCCTAACAAAGCTTAAATCTTTCAAAGCCCATCGCAGTAATTAATTATAACGATGGCCCTTTTCCAGGCATTCATCGGCTTAAACTTGATTAATTTAAATGAAAAATTTTGATACTATTTAAGTGCCCATGGGTATTTAGTTTCCATTGAGGTTTTAATTATAACATTTATTAAAATTTATAAAACTAAACTCTTATTAAGTTACTTATTAAATAAGTTAATAAGTTATTAAGCTACTTATTAAGTACTATAAAATTTTACACAATTATCACATGTAATTTATCCGTTTATTTTCGAATGATTTCGGTATTGAGGTATTAATTATAACTTTTATTAAGTTTTAATAAAACCAAACTCTTATTAAGTTACCGTTTAAGTACTATAAAATATTACTTAATTATCATATATAATTTATCCGTTTATTTTCGTATGGTTTCGGTACATTTATTCACATATATTATACATTTATTATAATATTATAAATGCCGAATAAACTGTCTTATATCACTGAATATTGTTAACTTGCTTAATACTTTTACTAATAACATAGCAACACTATTACAAAGCGATATAATAAATAAGGAACCAAAACTTATAATAATAGATGAACACCAAAATAATTCCACTGATATTGCTAAAAATAAAATTTTCTTTTCTGTTTTATTAAAATGTTTTAATTTATTTTAATAAAATGAAATATAAATATATGAAACCATAGTTTTATATATGTATTTCATGCGGAATTTTAATAAAACAGAATTTTTTTTTTTATGAAAGTTATCAATATTTTTTTCAACAAATAGAACTGACTTCAAACTTTTAAAGAGTGATAAATTATACTTATCGTAAAAGCGAATACTTATTCAAGAAATTTTAGAAATCGATAAACAATTGGCGGAAAAGCATATAACCTCTTGCATTCGATTTTGAAGTCAGTTAAAAATGAAGGTTTATAGTAGCTTTGTTAGCTTCAATAGAAGTTTCATGAACAGGATAAGTGTAATCTATATTTTCTTTGTATGTTTATAAAGCATAGTTAAAAGTTTCATTTCAATATTCATATTTTCAAAACTAGAATGTTATTTTATATCGGGATAAAATATCAAGGCGAGCGATTGGAATAATCTAAACCTAAATCTTCTTCAAGGAGAACACATCCTTATTTACATTTACATTGGAGAGGTTATTTTGCAAAAGCTTACTTATATTGTTGGAAAACATATACCTAACGACAGTTTTGTGAAACGCTAGAATGGGGTCGTTATTGGTACCATAGAAATGGACGATACCTAAAGTACAATGACGGTTAGTGAATTATTAGAACCGAGGCCAAGGGTAAGTCATTTGCTCACAATATGGTAAGGGATAAGAGAGTCTATAGAACGTAGCCGGTCGACGTCACACACATTCACTAATTAGTAATGTATCTAAATTGGGCATTCGTGGGCGTGCGTGGCGAAAGTATCTCTGTGTGTATGCTGTTACGTTATATGCCTAAACCACTGAACCAATTTTATTGAAATGTAATACCTGTATAGACAGAATGGACCTTGGGACAGGAAAAATACTTTTTATTGCGAAAAGTATACCGTGTGAGCGAAGCCGCGGGCGGAATGCTAGGTGTTTATAGGGCATTTCGGTTAATTCCACCCTTATATATGTTTTACACATTAATGTTGTATTTTAAGTTTTTCAACTCTATTAGTTTTGAAACTAAAAGTAATAGTAAGTGATGACCAAACGACGAAAATTACTAACTATTTTTATCTCAAAACGATCGAACGTTTTAAATGTGAATAAAAAAACGATACGATATAAAGTGTGTCAGCTACATTTTTCACACTTTTCACGAGTTATTGACATGAAATAATGAGTATAAAATAGTATTTTTTATTTAAAATTGAAATCGTTAGACTGTCTAAAGATATCCTTTATTTTAGTCTATGAAAGCGAGGACAAACGTTTATCTGTGTAGTTATCCATAGACCGAAAGCATGAAATCTTCATGCGTTGTAGCTAACGGAAATTGTGGAAGACATCTAGAGGTTTTATGTGTTTGATAAAAACACGGATAAAATACGTGGCGTGTACTTAGATAGTATAGGAAAATCATTAATATTTTCTTTATTTGTTTTTAATTTAAATCAATTAATTGTTAACAAAACACTATCAACGAATATATGGTCAGACAGACATACATAGGTAGTAACGTACTCTACCTTAATAAGACCCAGCTGTTTTTTACTGCTGGAGTATCAAAAACCTAACTGAAAAAGATTTAGATTCTGTTCTTATTGATCAGCCGTTGCAGAGATGGAACTGAGATGTGTTCTGCATGACTTTTTAGTACCGCAGCGGACAAAAATGTAGTCGACAGTGCCTTATATACTAAGAAATTAAGAAGTTCCTCCTTTGTGATTTTAAAGCGGTTGAAATGAGAAACAACGTCACAGATGTACCTAAGGCGATGGAAAAAAATAAAAATACAAAAGTTATTTCCTCTCTTAATTTAACTCTTTTATTACAGATTTTTGTAGTCCAAGGTTAGTAGATTTTTTAACAGTAATTGTCACCATTTGGGTGTAATTAATTAATTTCTTTTTAACGCTCTTTGCCCAGCCTATCTCATTGATGGACTCGTTGAGATCCGTCTCGTTTTCTCTTTTATTGAATTTTCTCGAGAAAATCCTTTTCAGTTACATTTATTAAGAAAAAATATATAAATATTATTTTTATTTCTGTACCATTATCTCATGAACCATGATAGATACTTAAAACCAAAATAAGTATAATAAATATTATTTGGAGCTCCCATACAACAGAACATATTTTATTGCGTTTTTTATTTAGATAACGGTACGGAACCCTTTATGCTCGAGTCCGACTCTCACATCGGCGTTTTTTACTATGAAAATATCATTAGAACGTGAAAATTTTCATTGAAAAATCATCAAATTAAAACATTAACGCCATCGTTCTTGAAAATTATAAAAATTGTGCGCTCACCTGAATCTAATTCGTCTTCCATTATGACTTCCCAGGACATCGCCATTGGAGCCGCTAGAGATAGTGCCATGAACCATATAATGACTATTATCATCTTAGCAATACGCTTCGACGTGTGAGCACTGGAACAAAATGAAAGCATTACTACTATGGCATTATAAAGTTAAATAAGTAGGTGGCATAATTACTCTTAATATTTCGTTTATAAATTTCAAAGATAAATTATTTATTCGAAAATTTTTGGATGATGAACTCTGGACGTCATAGATTATCGAGAATTAAGAAATGTAACGATTAAAAATTAAATATACTAAAGAAAACCCAGCCCAGTATCTACAAAACGATCAAGGTAAATATAAAAAATAATTTGAGTAGAAGACTAATCGCGCTGTTAAAGAAATAAACTAGCATGAATGGAAGAAAGAAATAGTATAAACAATTACTATTCTTTCTACAATCAGCATAAATTTGAACTAGAATACACAAATTATACATAAATTTATGCTCACTCTAAGTTAAATTAGCTCTAGGTGCTTTTTCGTGCTAAGAACATTGATGCATTCGGGGGCAACGGCTTGGCTATTCAATGTCTTGCACTCTTTTTTTATTATACTAAAATTGATAATATACAAATGTCCATTGTACATAATTTGGATATAAATCGATTTTCATAAAAATGTTGGTGCACAATACCTATGTCTCTTATACAATTTCGTCTCTTAATTTTTCCTGTCTTCATTTTTAAATGTCTCTTGTTTCTGAGAAATTAAACGAATCTATATAACCAGTTTATTAAAAACTCAGAATCAATTAGAATTGAAGAGAAATATATTTTACCCTTATCGTTAGCGAAAAAAACCTCGTTGGTCAATTTTCATAGGAATAACGAATAGAGGCTATTTGTTAATTTGTCAAAAGAGGTAGGACAAATTTAAGGTTTTTATGCGTTCTTTTGTTACGTCATTGTCTGCCATCTAAGCTTTTCTTGAAACACGTAAAATTTCTGTTTAAAAATAAATTGTGGATTCTATTTTAAGTTTAATTTGAGTTTCATCATTCACAAAAATCAAACGTCTCTTTCTACAAATTATAATAACTGTTTATTATGTTAGTATGTCCTATTAAAGTATACTTTTCTATTAATCATTAGATTCGATTGAATCACTTTGTCTCTAAAAAATATAACTTTATTGGTCATTTAATTATTTATATATTTTAAAACAAGAGTTAAAAACATATATTCAGTCTAATGTAATGCTTAGTAAAAAAAAGTTATTTTTCTTCTTATTAACAAGTAGGTATTTATTCAGTGACGCAATAACTGCTTCACATAAATATAAAGGCAAAATATAGTTACATACATTGAAAATAATTACAGACATTCATTATAACATTTTTGAAGTATATAATTCCAAAATATCAATTAATTAATAAATCTATACTAATATTATAAAGAGAAAAACTTTGATTGTTTGTTTGTTTGCATCGAAAACGCTTCAATAATACAAGGCCGACTATACTTTTCCTTAACCTACGGGATGCTATATCATAAGCAGGTAACTTACTCTATAATTTATAATCGAAAAGTATAAATTAAAAAGGCGTAATCGCGGAAATCATTTTTTCGTTTAAAACGTCGAATCGACATGTGATATTTGAATAATTGTAAGTGTCAACGAATCATTATCATTTTAAAGCATATATATCCAATGACTAAAAATGCATGCAGTTAACCTATCCATTTCAAACGGTCAAATTATAAACGAACCTGACAGGGTTCATGAATTATCTGATCTTATCACCCGTGAAATTGTGAACGGTGCCATTAAGGTCAGCTTTGACGGTTACTGGTTATATATCTATAGAATAAAAAGATGTTCATATATTCTGTCTCTTTATTTTGATATCTAAGTAATAAAATAAAATCAACACAACAAAATTGTACAATCCCAAGATTTCTTTTTCTTTACAATTGATGACTACAAAATATAAATAAGGCCAAACTTATTAAGTTTGCAATTTTAACAGTTTAGAGTATTTATTTTTCATTCAAATAAATTATTTTTGTGCAATAATGGGAAACTTGTCCTTTTTAATAATGCTTGTAGATTTTTAGACTGTTATTCAAGCCCCTTAGGGATTAAACTATTTAATTTCCTTTCTCAGCGATTCCTTTCTGTGTCATAACAATTATTAGTAGGCCAAGCAGCCCGATTCGTCCGGTAGATTGTTTGGGCTGAGGATTAATAGACCATTCTACCACTTTACTTTATTGAAACGTTGTGTGCTGACCTTGTCAGGAAGTTTGATGTTCTTAATTATAATATCGTTTTTTATAAAATAAGCAGCTGCAGCTGAGAAATAATAAGATGATAATAATAATAATATTCTTTATTGCATATAAAACAGGATAAGTATCGAATTACATAGCATGAGAAATACTGTATACATAAAAGATGACTTTATAATCTGCTACCTTGATAAGTATTGTATATACTTTGATAATAAATATAATTGAAAATATAATGAGGGAATGAAACATGCAGACTAAAAACTAATATATCTTATTATATAATAAAAAGGCATGACAAACATATGAAATAAAAGTAAAATAAAGCAAAAAAAAGCAAGAAATCTCGAGGTTAAGATTAGAAGAAGATCGCAATGTAAATAAAATGTGGAAACGTAAAATCTCCTCAATGTAATTTGTAATCAGTAAACATATTTTAATATAGTATTCGTTACTTTAATTCATATTCACATTTTTAACCTTCTAATATGTGTCTATAAATGCGTTTATAGTTATAGTATCTCCACTGTCACTATCTCAGCACCAGAGGATTGATCGACACCGAAGGTATTATACCTTTAGAGGCAGGTTCGACTCTTCATTAGACGATATATTTTTACAAAAAATAGTGATGATCAATTTTCGTTGGATTACATATACATGTTAAAATATAAAGGTATACATATACAATTATTCGACATATCAATCTGTCAATCTTTTTTATACGTGTAGCTTTAAGATAAACTATAAGTAGCGGGTTTTCGATAATCTGTGAGTCTAATATAATAATGAATTATGAATGCTAATGGGACTGCCTTGGCGATGCAGTACTTTTTGTATATTTATGGAGACTCATATCATCAATAGTTTCAGCACTATTTCATATATACTCGTATTATATCTGCTTTAAAGTTTTTATTGATCGGTGGAATGGTTCTCTTCTAGAAGTGGTTACAGTATTACAACCTGATACAGTAAATAAATAACGAAATTTAAATATTTGTAGATGATTTTAATGATAAATAGTTTTTAAAAGATAATACTATTTAAAAGAGAATTGTTTTTAACCTCTATCTGAAATCAATTTATTAATTATTATTATTAATGTTAATAGTTTGTAAAATATTGAAGAAATACTTTGTATTAACGAAATAATTTTTTTATCAACGATACTAAATCTGTTCTAATTTAAATATTTAATACTGACTCTTTAAAGCATTTGGTAATGTAACTTTCAGAAGATGATCAATGAGCATACACAATAAAATCATGTAAAGTACTTTCTGAATATTAATAACTTTATATTATAATTTAATTAATTCGTTATTTAGTCAAAATTCGTATATTTCTTTCTGCTAAGTAAATTGGTGAGGACAGAAAAATCCTTATATATACAAAAAAAAAGTAAGTCATTGTACTGGAATTGGATTCATTGCGCCACGGATCCATTAGACTGCTTTGTAGTAAGGACTATAGGATATTTTGCTTAAAAATATAGTGATGATATAAAATCAATATTTTACTTTATTGTGTATGTGAATCAATGGTTATATAATGATGTTCCAATATTTGATTAGTATCTTCTAACCAATAACAGACCTACAGGGTTAGCTGAATTCAATGTAGACGAATATTTTCTAATTATATTCTACTATTTGTTTTACCGCGACTTTGCCCGCCTATTATGTAGTTAAAAACAAACCATCATAAATTTCTTTTTTATAATAAGATAAAAACACTATATTAAACAATCTTAGCTTATATAATATCTGTACAATACATCAGAGATAAATATAGAAAAATTAATATCAGTATAGACTATTTATGCTATGACTTTTCCAAGAACCAATAATGAAAATATGATGAAAATGTAAGTTTAGATTAATTTTGATACACATATTAGTTCAAATAAAAATCGCTGTACAATTCGAGGAAAATTCATAAAAAATAAATCACTGAACAATAACCTACTCCTTTTCGATTTTGAAGTCGGTTAAAAAAGTAGGTAATTATGTTTCAAATCATATTTCCAATTTTCAATTAAAATCATATCTGGGCGAATAAAAACATCTCACGCAAAGTTAAACAAAATCTTGTGATGAGTCTAGTATTCTTCGTATTTCTTTACAGCGCGGAGACCTGGGCGAGATGTGGTGCTGGAGACGTGCATCGTACCAACGCATCAATACTTAAGGAACTAAATATCAAAACCAGCCTTTCCACTACGTGTCTCCGTAGAATATTTGAATTCCTCGGGCACATTGCTAGAAAGAACAACCTTCTAAGCTCGCTTGTTACGGGCAAGATAGAGGGAAGAAGGGTGCGGGGACGAAGCCCTATACGTTGAACCGACCAAATTCGATCCGCACTTGAATCCACTATCAGCGACGCCATCCACACCGCAGAAGACAGGTGCAGGTGGCAGAATTTAATCCAAAAGTGTTACATTTAGGTCACAACTCTCAATATTGAGGATATCGACGCAAGAAACTGAACTGAACCGTGAAGAAAAAGAAACTCTTTTATTTTCTTTTGTCTAAACGTCTTGCCAATAAGCGGTGTTGAGTAATACAAATGTTTGTCTTTTTCACTCTATCTGAAATTTACATTGGAATGACGTGTACAAAACTATGTGAATCTAAACAACGGTTATCTATAATACTCTATTTGAAGAGTAGAACATCTTATAGATTCAAGAACATTTCTTCGATTTTCAAACATGTTTTTAACATTGAATATGTTTATTCAAGCAGAAATCTATTCAGATAAGCGTCTCAGAACATAAATCGAATTTTATTATGTCTTTATTCTCGACTGCGTCTTGAGCCGTATTTTATGCACACGCGGTAAACGTGAAAGTGCACTTTGGATAGGAATAC